TTTGAGTGCAACTAAGTATAAAATAGGATGAACCTAGACACAAGTATGACAGTGTGAATAATTTAAATCCCAAGACCTCCCATTGCTGCTATTAAAACAACAGATTGCTGCTGAATGCATTTCTTTCTCTTTGTATTCCACAACAGAATGGAATTCCATTCTCCAGGCTTGTTACTTTAAGTAAAATATATCCTATTTAAAGCAAAGATTTGGAAATTTTGCCTTTTTTGTGTTTGCTTACAGTTTTGCAGCTATTTTCTACCATAATCTAAACAGGAACTTTTCTCTGTACAGAGTAGAAAAATTAAAAGCTATTGGAGATCAAGATATCTACCATTACAAAATAAATACAGTTTCATAGAGGATATTCCATTGCAGTATGCTGAAGTTTCACTGAGTCATCATCTCTGCCATTCCGTGCATCAGGGCTCATAAAACAGACTTGAAACCCAGATCCCACTTTGTGTGTTACCAAACTGCATCTTTCCTTCTGTCAAAGTACCCACTGAGGGGCTGTAGGAGCTGCTTCTTTCCCCAAGAAGAGGTTGAAACATTTCTTTGACTAGAACTGGAAATTCTCCTGGTTTTGGTCATGGGTGAACTGCACCCTCATGTTTCACCCTCCTCCTCCAAACTTCTAAAAAATCTGATGGGACTTATTCCAACCAGCTCTCTCTGCACAGAACTGATGGTGCACTCTGTACTCTACTCCCAACTATGCTTCTTTGAATTATGCAGTCCTAGAAGTGTTCTTAGAACCTGGGAAAATTGCAGAACCATTGATTTGAGTCATCCAACACCTTCCCAAATGGCCTCTTTCACAGTACCCACACACCACTCCCATATGCCTGAGGTCTCTCCAGGGAACTTGGCTACAGCTTCTCCACTGGAGATCAACCCCAATTCAGATAAAGTGGAACAGAAAAATCTTCCTCCAATATTGAGCAACATAATATTTACAACCTTATCATTTTTATAGTACCAGCATAATTTCAGAGCTGTTCTCAGGCAAGACCAAGCCAGCAGAGTACAACATGAGTGCACCAAAGAGAAAAAGGAAAACATAGGCAGAGCACAGAACACAAAACAGAAAGAGTACTTAAAGCTTTTTCCAACAAAAACTGTTATTCTAAGTATGTACTTTCTTTCTAGCAAGTATTTTAATTTATATGCTCACAGAATGTAGAGGAAAATGTATCCAAGAGACAATAACTTCATCATGTGATGGCTACAAATAGAGAAATTTGAACTTATAACAAATATACTCTTAAATTAGAATACAATTAGATGCTGATATCCCATTACTGCCTGCAATCACCCTCAAGGGAAGCAAAATTGCATGAGACTAACAGAACATTCACTTGTTTTAAAATTTACAGGAGACTCAAGAAAGTTTCACATGCATTTTACCTCAGAAACAATGTACCACTTATTCTTCCTAGCAATGATTTTTTTACATAGCATTCTGGGATCAAAATGTAATTTTGAACAATAACATATTTTCTGACATTCTCTAAGGAAAAATTACTGGTTTCTTCCCTCTAAAAGGATTTCGATGGAATAACATCTGTGTTGAGATTATTGTGAATATGTTAAACTGACAGCAAGTCTCTAAGGGGCACTGCTCATTAATGTTCTGTGCATAAAATTAAAACTTGAAATATATTTTCCAATCATTTTTGAATCATTTAAGCAATTCTCATGCAAAGAAACTATTGTGCAGCAATAATATATTTGCAGAGTAGGCTATGACAGCTATTAAAATGTCCCAGACCCCCTGCCTTTCAGGCAAAAGGAAAAAAGGAAACACTTTCTAATTTGAAGCATGAGCTGCATTGAAACAAAAAAATACTTTCAAAGACCATGAAGAGTTTGATTTCAACTTATGCAATGCAACAAAATTTAAAATTGTGTCTTCTTCATCTTTAATTCATATGTTGCCTAGGAAGTTCTCATACCAGCAGGAGAGTTCTGTTAAGTGTTGCACATGGGCATTTACAAGAAATTTCTCCAGTGCCTACAAGTGGTGGCTGTATTCTTTGAAACTGCATCAGGGCAGCATTCTGCAGGCAGAACTGGGGAGCTGTGCTCTGAGACAATGCCTGGGACTCAGGGGTTTTAAGACAAAAAACTTCTGCACTTTAAAAGTGACAAAGGTCTCCATGTCCATAAAACAAATAATTTTGTTTGGAGGGCATGTATAGTTCTTCCACCCAGAACAACAGAAATATAAACGTATCCATCAGGTTTACTGTAAAGCAGTCTCTCATGTAAATCTTTAGTATGAATAAAAAGTAATTAATCTGTTCAAAACCAAATAAAATTCCAGGAATTATTGAATTTTTCAAGCACAGAAATCTGCATAAAGCTGTAGCTCTAAGTGCCATTTTATGGATAAAAAAGGAATATATTATCATTGGGAAAACAAACATGCCCTCTGTTTCAAAAGCCACTGGATAATTACAGCCACAATAAGATGAGAGTTCTAAATTTTGCCACAACATATAATGATTGTAACCAGGCCATTGAATTACATTCATAAATGGAAATTCAGGAACTTCAATTAACATGTTCTTGATGTGACAGACTTTAGCAGGGCTTTTTTGCATGAAACCAGTCTGTGTCAATGGGATTTCATTACTTAAATCACAGTAATCATAACAAGGCAGTCTCGGGCTGCCTACATTGGAAATGTTATGTAAAAACATTACAAAAAGACATCAAAGTTATGCTCAAATACTCCTCTTTTAAACTTCCACACCTCACATTGCAAACTGCGGAGCAGCAAACACAAAACTGCCAGTACTAACTAATATTTTTTTGCAAGCCTCTTCCATGCAAAAGCCTAAGCACAGATACACTGTGGAAGGCACATTCTTCTTTTTCTCAGGATTTTTTCATAGAGGAGCACAGAGGAAAGAAAGAGAAAACAATTTCTATTTCTGCTCCTTGTTTTTCCCATGTGGAATATGTTTGGAAAATTGTCTACCTAGGGTGATTGCTTGATTGGATTCTGGTGAGGATTGTTTGAGCCTGATGGCCAATCCAACCAACCTGGGGCTGGACCCCAGAGATGGGGGAACGAGTTGGGAGTGAGTTAGATTTGGTAGTTAGAAAAAGTAGGTTTGTAGTTTTAGTATCTCCTTTAAATAGTGTATTAATGTATTATAGTATAGTTATAATAAAGAAAGCATCCAGCCTTCTGAACTGGAGTCAGACATCAGCATTTCTTCCCACCAGGTTCTCCTGCATTTACAATAATACATATGGATCTATAAATGGATCTGTAAACATTCAGCAGAGAGCTTCACTTCCAGAGGTTCTGACATTGCTGATGTGGAGGGGAAGACACCAGATTAGTGCAGCTGAAAGAAAATAACAAAGCTGCTCTTCAAATTTTAGATGTGAAGACGGCACTTCTGGGTGTGAGGTGCAGCCTTGATAAACACACAGAACACACACTGGTGCTCCCTGCTGCAAATTTCCTTAGGGATATCTTCGCTCCCCCTCCCTCTCTGCTGTTATCTGCCAGCAGAGGAGGGCACTTGCTCCACTTTTCCAGCCCAACAGAGCGCTGCCAGCTGCCCCACACATCCAGCAAAAGCCAAAGCGCCGCAGGAACGTTTGGGACTTACTGGGCACACACTGAACTGGAACACGACAAAGTTCAATCCCACAGTGTTCGTGTGAGAAGTTTCATCTCTCTTGGCAAATGCTGGTGCACTTTAAGCCCTGACACAGTAAACTGCAGATTTGATTGTTTCATGAACAAATTATCTTTTTCAAGGAAAGCATCAACACAATAAGAAAACTCCTGAGATAAATGTGACAAAGCAGCAGGAGTTAATTAAGTAGGACGATGAGTAAGCATTTATGGGTGCGACAGGAGACCCAGCTGATTTAATTGCAAGCCTAATTATCAATTAGAGAATCAAGAAATGGTGTGTTAGTGAAATATTCCATTTGTTGATACTCTAATGATTTTCAGAGACCCAGAAGAATAGTATTAATTGCTATTTTAGAACTACAGAAGGCATTTTTATTCTCCTCTTACTCAAACAGAGGTTCTTAGTACTTCTAAAATAACTAATAAATGTATATAGTCTTCTTGTACTCAAATATTTAAGTACTTTAGGTACTTCAGATTTTTTTTTAAGAAGTCTAGTAATTAAACATTCAAACACAGTGCCTCTAAACCACTCAGCTGAAGTAAAAACCTTCCTGCATTTATTTTCTAAAAAGGATAATAAGTGCCCAGTAGTGTGAGAGTCCCATTAACTATTTTCAGGGTGCTTACACAAGTCAATTTCTAGACAACATGAAAGAGGTTGGGGAACCATTTAAATCCACGAGGGCAAAGAGCCAGTTGGCTCCAGTCATTGTTGAAATATTTTACCCAGCAAATGCAAGAAAATAAAACTACCAAAAAAAATAATATATTGGAATACAAAGAACCCTTTACAAGCCATAAATATATTCTGGGTTCTCACATAGAAGCCATTAAGTATGTTCAGATTCTTCTCAGAACGGCTGTCATAGGCATGTAGCTTGTAAAGGACATTTATCAGAAAAAGAGATCAGACAGACACTATCACAGGACTAGTGTTGTTTCCCAATGAAATTATCAAAAAACAATTTTGGTGTGTAGCAAGAGGAACTCAGAAGAGGACAGCGGGTTAAATAGAAGCTTTCAACCACCATAACCCAAATTTGTTTTCCTTTCATTTAAAGACACACAAAAAAAATTACTGAGCACTTCCCCTGACCTCCTGAGGGGCCTCAAGAAAGCAAGGAGGGGGATTTTTTTTTGCATTTGTTCCCCGGAGAAATGGTTGTGGTGCTATCTGAGAGCTTCCAAAACACAAGAGAAGGTAATCCTTCCCTTCAAAAATCGCGTGGGTGCTTTCAACGTTAATTTCTTATATCAGTTATTCCACGCCCCTCCCATTACCTGGGGCCCGCCCCTCCGCCATCTTGCACCGCCCACACGAGTCCCTTCACCTTCTGGGCGCTGTGTGCCCGCCTGAGGGGCCTCGAGAAAGCAGCGAGAAGGATTTGTTTTGCTTTTTCCCCCTGAGATATGGCTGTGGTGCCACCGGAGAGCTCCCAAAGGAGGAGAGGAGGGGATCCTTCCTCGGAGAACGGGTGGGCACTCCCCAACATTTCACTGAACACCTTTCTGCCATCTTGTGCCCCCCCACATGAATCCCTGCCCCTTCTGGCTGCCTGTGCCCACCTGAGGGACCTCGAGAAAGCAGCCCCGAGTGGGAATTATTTTGCTTTTTTCCCCTGAGATATGGCTGCGGTGCCACCGCAGAGCTCTCAAAGGAGGAGAGGAGGGGATCCTTCCTCGGAGAACGTGTGGGCACTCCCCAACATTTCACTGAACACCTTCCCTCCATCTTGTGCCCGCCTCGCCGCCGCCGTTGCCCCGCAACGCCCGAGCGGCCGCGGCGGGTCCCGGGCCCCGGCGGGGCTGAGGCGGCTCCGGTCCCGGCCCGATGGAGCCCACCAACTTCATAGCGAAGGACAACTACTGGTAACAGCCCGGCAGGCACCGCTGCTCTGCTGCTGCCGCCGTCCACCTTCCCCTCCCGGCCCGCAGCTCCGCGCTGAAAGAGTTCTCCTGTGTTTAAAGAGCTGGGTGATGCTGGTAAAAGAGTCAGGGATTTGAGAGCTGCCTTCAGTGCACCCCTCCTTCCCCGCCGGGTGTGGGGTCGGGGGCATCTCGTCAGTCAGCACAGCAAATGAAAGTGTATTTGAAATTACATTGGTGCTTACTTTTCAACCTCGTCCGCTTCTTAACATAATTTAAAAGCGTTTACATGTGTAAAAAGAGTGTTTACATGCAGTGTTCACTGTTTCGCATGCAGTGTTTCATGTGTAAAAACAGTGTTTACATGCAGTGTTCACTGTTTCACATGCAGTGTTTCAAACCTCTGGAAAGCGTTTTCCCATTAGCTCTGAGTCAGATAATGATAATTTGTACATAAACTTGCTGTTTTGAGATGGAAGTTTAAAGATTCCAGCTAAAGTGCTGTGCTTTGTGACATCAACTGCTGGGTTGGCATGTTGGGGTTTTTTTTTAATGAAAGTTTTCAAAGTAATCTTAAATATTTTGTGTTGGTTTCAGGAAGAAGCATGTTGAAAGGGAAGGAGATGCTGCAAAGAGATGGGCTGATAAATGGGGATTTTTGAAAACACCTCTTGAAGAGGTAACATTGAATGGCATATAATATGGCTTATAAGCAACACATGAAATCTACTTGTGCACAAATTTATCTGGACACAAAATTATGAGAGCACAGAAGACTAGAAGTGTACTGAGTATGCTTTACTACGCTGGCATCCAAGGTAGCAACTGCACTACTTTTGAAATGGTTCAAATACTCAGTTTTCTTCTGAATAAAATACATCAAGTGGTAATTTATATGCTGTGCATATTCTGATATATTTCTCTTGAGAAGCATGACTCCTAATAGTGCTAACAAGTACTAGATGCACACTGACAGGAAAATATTTCCCCTTTGTCTCTCCATATGGTATTTTAAAAATCTAGGGGAAAAGGTTCCAGCTAATTAAATTGTCAGTGGGGGAATCTACAACAAATGAAAATATTTGGAGTGATGTCTCTTCTCAGTGATGTTTAGATATTAGAATACAGTAGCACATGATGTTACATTTGGAATCACAGTATTTCATTGCTAAAGAACAGGATTGATGCGGTTCCTGCATAGTTATAGATGTAGTTTGCACGTCTTCAGAAACAAACAAACAAAAAAAAATCCAGTAATTTCCAAAGCACTGAAATAAGTAATCCTGCTTGAGGTGGAAAGAACAGGAAGTTCATATGCAACAGTGAGGGGAATGGTGTGGATATCACATATTACAGTATATTTCCAAAGATAAAGAGTCCACTTTTTAAATATGTTTTGGTTTTAGTTGCTTGGAGTTGAAAAGAAAGAAGCTGCAAAGCCCAAGCTACAGCTTCCAGATCACCTGCAAGTTCGACCTGTGACACCTGTGGAAAAATACATTAAGGTTAGAAAATTAGATTTTAAAATTGCAATACAACAACATCTGTTTTAAGAAACCACACAAGCTCTGAAAACCAGTTGTCTTACAGAGGGGGGTCTTTAACTAAAGGTCAAAGTAAACTGCATTTGAAAGCCAAACTATGCTTTAAAAGCATTTGTTTAAGACAAGGAATTGCCCTTTGAATATGGTTGTAATTTTTCTACCTTTATTTAAGAGTCTGCTTTTTGTCAGAGACAATACTGTCCTCTTCAGTACCACAAATTAATAAGAAGCCAGTTCTAATAAGCCAAGTCATAATTATTTTCTTTTATATGATTTATATGTATATTCAGAGTCTTAAAGCTGTCAAACAGCTGGAGAATAGAACGTGACTGATGGTTGAATTTATAAATACAGTGTGTCAGGATCACCAGTGAATAGGGTGAGTCCACAGGCAGCTAAAGCAGTGACACTGGGAGAGGAACTTACTCACAAAAGGGGAAGCAGAATATGCTAATGAAAAGGAAGGTTAGTCCAATAAAGGAGATTGGAAGTTCTTACTTGCTGAACTAGCTTTCTTTCAAAGGATTCCAAGGGTGAGGAGGTAAGGTAAGGAAGTAGTAAAAGCTTTTATTGAGATTAAATTAAAATAAAAATTAAGAGCTAGTGCTGAGTGTGGTAAAGAAATGAAATGGCATAATTGCTGCCATTACTGCTGCTTGTTCTTCAGTTTTGTCCCAAACCTCCAGTCTCAGCCTGGTTGCAGTTTCTGTCGAGTCCCAGCCCTGTGAGGGTGCTGGTGCTTTAACAAATCCTGCAGTTAGCTGCTCCACAGGCGAGCAGAGCCTGGTGCACACTGGAACAGAGTTTCCATTTCACCTCAGAACTGGGAGGAAGAGAAGGGTTAGCTGTGATTTAGGTCACCCTTTACATATTCAGAGTGAAGTTTCATACATCCTTTTCAGAACTGTCTTTCTGCACATTTACCTTGTGGTAGCACTCAAATCTGTTCTCTCTAGGTTAGACTAATAAAAGCTTCTGCATAGTCCCCTCCCCCAGACTGAAAGTGGGACATGATTTCCGTCATTATCCTGCTCAGTGGGTGGCACTTTTGGCCATAAAAATTATCTTTTCTGAGGAACTGCTCCACCTAAATATCATAAACATTTTCTAATCTTGGCCAAAGAACAAAGTGAAGCAACTCTGGCAAGAGAACTGAAACATTGTTCTCTTGCTGTGTATTTCTCTGCTAAGTCCCCAGATGCTGAAATGATAGAACGTGCCCAATTGAGATGATTCAGCCAAAGTAAGCACAGCAGTCACTGAACAGAGTCTGTTGGCTTTTGTTTTGTTTCCTTTTTAGCTAGATTAGTTGCAGATTAACTTGCTGCTCACCCATCTTTTAAAGTAGAAGGAAGGTAGAATGAATAAGTAGTTCTGATGTAAAAGCCAGCTTGGTCAGTAATTTCTTCGGCATTTGGATTTAAAATCATTATTCCATAGCGGCATTGTTACCAAATATATTACAGCAAGGAGGGAACACTATTTCTCTTGTTTACAGAAATTAGTTCGTTTTAAAGATGACGATGATTATCTTTGGCTTGAACTTTTTCTATACATAATAATAATTTTTAAAATTCTAATAATGTTAAACAATTAAAGCCATTAGTATTGAACCAAACTTGGGAAAAAATCATTCCAACATACACGACTAAACAATGACTTGATTGTTGGTTTTAGAACACTACAGCACAAAAGACAAATGTTGCATGATAGAAACTTCAACCAAAAACCTTTTCATCATTCAGTTTTACATGTTACTTTGATTTTAGGTGCTTCCATCTCCTCCAGTACCTAAAACTACCCAGGGGTTTATTGGCTGGAGGTCAGGTGTTCCAGCACTGGCACTTGAACACGATTATCAAATCCAAAGCTGCAAAGGAGCTGTCTGTAGTATGAAGTGACCATGTGAGCCCTCTGAGTGACATTATGAAATAAAGAGGCACAAAGATCCATCTGCATTCCTAAGGAAATATAGTGGACTGTTGGACTGTTGAGCATTTCTGCTATTTATGTAAAAATCCACAATCATTTTGGGAAAGTGTGAACATTTTCCTTTTACTTCATTGAATCTATGGTATCCAAGCTGCTAACTCTGCTTCAGAGCTCCTGCTTGTAACTTAGAAATAACAATGAATAAACTCAGATAAAGATCACAGAGCATGTACTATTTTTATTAGCACTAATAAGACTATAATTTAAAAATATTCATTGGAAATTGGAATGACAATGCATATTTTTATAATTGTTTCTCCATGAGAACTTCTTCTCATAAAATACACATAAAATGTGTGCCTTACAGGTATTTTGTGCAGTCACACACATAAGTGAGTAGTTCCTAGTAAAGAAATAAAGTACACAAAGGCCATAGGACACAGAGTCTCTTTGGAAAATCAGTTTTGGTATCAAAACAGGGCTTTTCCATCAGTATGCAAAAGGGTTACAATTGGATTGTTTCAGTTTTGTGTATACCAGTATTTGCACCAACCAGGGAAAGATGCTCAGAGCCAGCAGCTGATTGCTCTGGGAGTTACTGGGGTAGCTCCCTCAGTGCCCTGAGTTCACTCTTGCTCTCACTGTGCACCTGAAATTTTACCAGGATTTCTGGAAACCCAGGAGGAAACTCATTGAGCTGCAGCAGCTGTTTGCATGATGTAATTCTGACTGGCCAAGGTGTTCAAACCAGAAGGTTGTTTAAGCAAAAAAGAACCTCCAAGAAATCAACACAGGCAGCTCCCTCTAACTCCTTATCACTTAGAGGGGAAACGTTTTCCTTCTTTAACCCTGCTGCAAGGTCTCCTTTGTGTTCTGCAGCCATCAATATCTTCTGCTTGAGTCAGCACTAAGTCTGTGTTGTTCACAGTAGTAAGGCAGCAGCCAGTGTTTGTTCTTCCCTTCTTCCCAAGAAATGACTCATAATAATGATCAACATCCCACCTTTTTTTTTTTTTTACATCCATTTCCAAATGCCCACAAAATAATAATATTTTACTTTTTTTCCCATACTCTCTACAAATAATGGAGAAGTGAGTCATATCCTTTGGAAAGATTACCCCAGAAGGAGAACAGAAGTAGCAGAAGTAACTTCAGACACTTTACTTAAAAACCAGAATAAAGAATAACTTGGAATCAGACTCTGGAAATTGAAGTTAAATGGTAGTTTAGCTACTAACCATAACCTGTGTACACTGTTCTTTGGACACCAAGATAATTGTAAGAACAATATTTAAATTCAGTGTGCTTTCTTGTCATTGCCAGGTTTGTATCTCTTGCTTATTTAAATCATGTGGTGTGTGGTTCGTCAGTTTATTTTAAGGTCATAAGATCTTATTCTTGTCTGATTTATATAAACAGGTATAATAATGATTGATATGTTATTTAGTAGCAATTAAATTACATCAATTCAGGCCAAATAAAAGGGGAATTTCGCTGACTTTTAAAGAGTTCTATTAAAGAATCAAAATACCAAATACCCACTGGATGTTTGTATGAAGTGAAATCCAAATCCAAATGAGCCATGGTTTAATTTTGAAAACCAAAATAAATCCTTTGTCCACCATCTACAGCTGGGCATTCCTGACTCTTATTCCAATGTCTGAATATTAACTTTGTCCTGACATTAAGGGTTTTGTATTGTACATTCTGTCATTTAAGGTACCTTTACTCCAGGAGATACTTTGATAGATGCTAATTTGGGATGTGCAAAGACTATAATCCAGTATTTCAAGCCATTTCTTTATCATAAATCTGTTAGTTGTTATTTGTCCCATGTATTCAGGATTTTGGTGTTATGTGAAACTACAAACCTGACTATTTTTCCCCAAAACTTCTAACACATTCCATGAAAAAAATTGTAGAAGTTTTAGATTTGCAGCTGACAAAGGACTGCCCAGTCATCTGCCCCAGATGTGAATCCTAAAGGTCATTACACAATCATTGTATCACCTTGTTATGTTTGAAACCTGGCCTTTAATTTGTGGAAATTAACCTATTTATTGGAGCCAGGTTGGGTACATAAATGCCACTGCACATGTTAAATATCACACATCTCCAAGGTCAGGACAGTGTCAGTAAACTCTGCATACAACAGAAAATGCTTCAGAACAAATTTAAATCACTTCAAAAGTGTAGCAGAACAAAACAAATTTAAATCTGTATAGAATTTTAAATCTGTATAAGAGTGTTTGACCTGTGTTTCTGTGCAAGTCAGAGCAGAACCAAAATATGAGAACAAGATGTAAGTGTATTTAGATGTCTTTGATGCTCCAACCAAAATTTCATTTGGTCTTTTTCAAAGCTTCTGGTGAGCATAGGGAGCTGCAGAGCACTTCCTTGGTTGACAAAAATGTCTCAGAAAGCTGAAGCCATCTGGCCTTTAGTGTTGTTTCCAGGTAAGCTTTGCTAACAGACTCATTTTACAGAAGAGCTGTGCAGGGTCTTTCAGAAGTGCACACACAGAAATGTTACTGGAACTGATACCCAGGCACCAGAGCTAGAGCTGGAAACAGGTCAGCCCCACATCTGCCACCAAGGATGTGTCCCTGCAGGTGCTCTCCTGAGTGTGTGATAACAGCAAAGGCTTAAATGGCAGCTGCGTTCAAGTTGAAGAACAATTAAATCAAAATTATCTTTTTCACAAGCACTCACTTAACAAACAACAAAATTGGGGGACAAAAACCTGTTGTTTTGCTTCACAATGTGTTCTTTTCTGTGCTGTTAGAACTGGTACAGAACTGGCACTTGCTATTTATAATTTCAGTAATACAAGATACTTTACCAGGAACTCAGAGTCAAAAGATTGCTATTTATTTTAAATTAATTTTACAGAGAATAAAGGTTTTTTTTTTAAATTAGATCATAGTTGTTGGTGATTCTGAGTAAGTTGCACTGCTGAGGTTGCAATCACCATAGAAGAGTTGCTGTATATTTGGAAAGAACCAAAGTGGAAAGCATCCACAGTCTGTGCACAGACAAGTGATCCAAGGCCTAAAAGGGAGCTTGGAGAATAAACCTCAGTGCTCTGCATGAGACATCTGTGACATCCCAATGACACTCTGCAGTCCTAAGCCTGAGCAGCAGACTCCTGTTTCCAGTCCATCCTACTGGCTGCTCTGCCTGCCTGAGGTAACTTTAGTTCTGAGGTTGTTTCCTTACAGAGCAGAGGATGTAGATTACATTATTATAATTTTCAGAGACATAAGGTTCCCCATTCACACACATAATTTTCCTCCTTTAGTGAAGGATTCCTTTTGGTTCCTTCCACACTGCACAAGGTAGCAAAGTGACAAACATTGATCTAACAGAGTCACTGGCAGCCAGACCAGAAACCTCTGTGAAGCCCAGCCCAGCCCCTGCTTGCTTTAGGTTCTACATGTGTTGTGTTTTGTTCCCCTTGAAGCAGAGCTCTTGTAGCAAGACAGATAAGGCCTGCTCACAGACTATTACCTTCTTCCTGACTCCTGTGGTTTTCACATCCCATCAAATTGTCATTTAGCTGAAAGCATGTCAGACCATTTCACAGGACCATACTGGAAGAAATTTAACTGTACTGGAAATTGATGCTGATGTGCTGTGAAACTGATTGGGTTGGAATGAACAAAACATCGTTCCTCAGTCATACACGGAAAGGCTAATGGTACTGAGAAATAATTTTAAAACATTACAATTCTGTTAACCTCACGTGTCCTGTTTCAGGTGAGCACCTTGCAGTTCCATATGAGATCTAGCTGAAATTTGGAAGTGATGGGTCAATATAATGGGCTTTTATTAATAGAAATTACACCTTTACACCTTTTAGTCACAGACTGTGTATGTGGCCCCAGTTACTGTGAATTTAGCCCCTTTCCTCATATTTCCCCCCTCACTGCTTTATCTGCCTCACTAAAAAAGTAAAATAAACTAAAAATTGACTAAAGATTGAAATAAACATGCGGACTTCAAAGCACAAAAACAGATACAACCATGAAGAAATAAACAGAACAAAGAATCTTCTTTCAGTGTGGTGGCTCCACTGACAGCAGCTTCCCTGGGCACAAAAACAGATTTGCAGGTACCAGATTGGGATTAAATGTGAACACAACTCTTGTTAATCTAAATTTTTAACAGCTCAAATAACAGCATCATTTAGAGTTCCAGTACAGGGCTGAAGAAGTGGCCATTTTCTCTGCTTTCTTAATAAAGGGCTCTTTATTCAGTCCATTTTCCTGACTGCTTTCCCAAAAGATCATAAATGCGGAGAGCAGCCCTGCACCCAAACAAGCCATGGCAGCCCTCGCCCCCAGCCCCTGCACGCACATTTCTGTCTGCGCCTTTCCCCGCGATGCCTGCAGGCTGCCAGTGACACCCGGCTAATCCGCGGTGCTCCAGCCTGACCCGAACCCCACAATGCCTTCTCACTTCCCGCAGCCCCTCCTCCTCCTCCCGAAGTGAGAGACGGGCAATGCTTTTATTCCTCACCGGGGAGCAAGACAGCCCAGCTCTGCTCGTGAATCTCCTCTGCTCGCTGACACGCGTCAGACACAACATTCTCATCCTTAAAAGCTGGAGCACAGCAAAAACAAAGCAAGAGCCCAAAAAACCCCAGTGAGCTCCAATCCCTGTCTGGAAAAAACAAACAGCCATTATGCTCCTCTTGCCAGAGCCCAGTCATGTCCTTTGTTTCATGAAAGCTGTGTGATTTCTCTGCTCCCATCATGTGCATTACAGCTTCCATCCTGGCACTGCACTGGTTAATGAACAAACCCCACATATTTGCAGTCTCTCAGGAGATGCCGAGATCCAACTGACTGGCACGTGAGGAAGCATGGAGGGACAAGGTTTATGGGTTCACTTGGACATGGAGATCTCCCTCATCTCATTTCCTCCCTGCCTGTAGTCACAGCCAAAGCTGGGAGCTCTCTGTGGCAGTAAACCAGCCCTTGCTGCTTAAGCCCAAGGCCTGAGAAGTCAGGCTGGCTTTGCTGCTTCTGCACAGGACAACGGGGCAGTGTTGCTGCTGGGTCAGAGAACTCTGCTCCAGGAGATGGGCCCTGAATATTTAAAGTAGGAGAATTCACTTTAACCTACAACTTTTGGGAGTCTTGAGCCAGGTGCCAGGTAAAGGGAACACACTGCAGTGCAAACTGGACAACAACCTGGTTCCCAGAGAGCACTGCTGATGCTTTTGTTCTCCCAGAAGCTGTGTCCACAATAATTCCAGTTACTTACGTGTGAATGAAAAAAGCTCTTGCCATAGATTTGACCAAACCAGGTTTCTCATTTGTTTCTTTGCCCTTCTGTTTGTTTAAAGTACGAGTGCTGAGCAAATCAGTGTTTTACTGGGATAGCCACAAGCAATGGACAGCTTGAGCCTTACTCCTCCACCTTGGGCCAGAGCTGTTTTATTTGAGAGTGAATCATCTTCCTCATACTCAACAAATCTCAAGTAAAATGCCCTGCATGCATTCATGCAGAATTCTACACTTAAAGTACTCACAAAGGAGAAAAAATTTCCTAAATCTGCTTTCCATTTTCCTTTCATTTGCACTGTTGGAGTCACTGCAAATCCATCCTTACCTGGCAGCAGTGACAGGCAGGACCTGGTTGGTTCTGCTGGGCAGCCACACCCTGGCACTCCCTCTGCCCCTCTCAGCTCACTGGGCCTGCAGGAGTTAACCAGCTGTTGAGGGTTCCTGAAACACACAAAACATCAAATTACATAAATACTGCAATTATTTGGAATGTATTTTACATGCATCTCATGTGTGTGTTTGGCAGTGCTGGTGGACTTGATTTGAAGCTGAATAAAGCACATGCAGAGTGGTCACGGATGTGTAAAAGCATCCAAATATGAGAATGGCTTTTCAAACCTAGTGAGCCAAATCTTCCTCGTTTAAAGGGCTCTATAGTGATGATTTATACATTTTTACTGTGGAAAAGTAAATACACAGTATTTTCTTGTAAGCCTCATGAACAGTCCTCATAAGGGCAGGCTGCAAAGTTTATCCTATACCTCAGGTTCCAAAATGTTGGTTTGTTCACCTGGTCTTGCCCAAACCCCATGAGATGTAAAAATACAAAGTCTTACAAGACTCTAGTCTCAGCTCAGGTATTTAACAACACTAACAAAACAAACAAGCTTCACTTTCTCTCCTGATGACTACAGCCTTCCCTGAAAATTACAGCTTTATTATGCATAATTCAATCAACTGCTTTTCTTTATTGTCCCATCTAATTATGCACACGTATACTTGTTATATTGCAAAACATAAATTATGGCCCAAGCACAGCACAGAAATATACACACATTTCTTATGTAAGAAGAATGGAAAAATCAGTCAGGCCAATCAGGGATTTATTTACTCGCCTGTCCCATTCTGGATTTGTAGGTGTTTGTACAGATTCAGAAACTACATCTGAATTCTGTCTGAATTCTCCCTTTGGTCATTACAATGGCATTAATTACCTGCATTCCATAATATATCACACCAACTTTAAATGCTTTTTTATTTCTGAAAAACAAGGCCAGATGCACAGAAGTTTTTGTGCTTCTGACACCCTAATGATGACAACACAGTAACTCAATTTGTTGCCTGATTTTGGCTGAGAGAGGCTCAGGTCAGCCTCTGGTGTTTGATGTGCCACATGCACGACTTTTTTTCAGGACTGCAGTCCAAATTCAGACTTTAAATGATACACCACAGGATCCTTGTTCTCCACAAAGCTACAGAGGGAGCTTGGGCAATAAAATCTTATCTTTAGACTTCAAAGGTATTGTCTGCAATGAGACCCTATGGCTAAAGCCCTTCAGGGCAGGACTTGTTCCTCCTGAGCCCACTTTGACTGTGCTGACCACTCATCCTCTGCAAGAACATCTGCACACAGCAAAACTAAGCCAAAAATGTCAGGTTTTTTTCCACCACATATTGAACCACCTATGGAATATAATTAATCTCAAGTACACATTCCCTCTGCAAGGTGTCAGGATAGCACAGAGTCCAGAGGCATTTGTGTCCAGTGAAGAATGTAATGCCTGCAGGTCTCCCTTCTCCCCCAGAGGAGAGAGATTTGAAAGGCTCCTGCAATGGATGTTTATTTATCTGTGTATTGATTTTTTAATTTGTTACACACTAATCATTAAGCAGCATCCGGTGCCCAGACAGTACAAGGGGTCACACAATCAGCCATGCAGCATCAACCACTGCCCTGCCAGGCCTCTCCAGAACCCACAGATGCTAAAACACCAACCTTTAATTTCATAAAGTAAATGCCAACACTGCTTTGCAGTCCTTGGATGAGCCCAGCCATGGAAGCCCTCCTGACCAGACCAGGGAGCGCTCCCCTCATGTCCCTGAGGTCACAATTTGGCTAAACATACGCAGAACATGCTTGGCTCATTACACATGTGCACATCAAATCCACATTCAGCAGCAAGGGAACAGAAGACAATATATGGTAAAATACTGGAACTGCACTTCAAAGATCAGGATGCAGTTCCACGGACTCCCAGGGTGACTTTGGCCACAACACTCACCTCCCCTGCTTCAGCTCCCGTCTGTAAAAGGCAAAATAACCATCCCTCATTTTTACTTCATCCATCTTTGCAATTTAAACTCGGAGTTCTTTGTAGTGGTGTCTCTTTCTCAAAATACATCCAGCTCCCAGTACACAATGTCCTCCTCGTAACAGCCTTATGAAAATGCATCCAAAAAATAAAATAAAAAGAACCATATAAAACATCCACTGATGAGATAAGACCACCAGCACAACAATGCAGTGAACAGCTGTAATCTGTGGGAGGATTATTTCTCTTTGCCATAAATGCCATCTATTTTTCAAGACAAGCTCTTCCCTTTCATAGAACAGGGAACACAGTATCTGCAGACAACTTCCCTTCCCACCAGTATGGTTTTTAAAGGCTCACAGTAGTTTGTGGCATTAATTAGAAGATGTCACACCTTAATGACAAATGTTAGTACTAGTCTGCTTGATCAACGTAATTTATTTCTTCATTGGACATTTTATTCCAGATGAGCTGCTTTTCATCCTCCATATTTGCTGGGGGGAAAAAATGCATCCTGACATGCAATGTTAATGTGCCCTCTGTGCTCACCTCTTATCTCTTAACTTTCCATTCTCACCCCCCCCACTCTCTGCAGTGCCTGAAATGAGCTTTAGCAGCAGCTCTTGGTCAAGACTCTCAGACATTGGACCCCTGCCAAGGCTTTTGGGGTGTTTAGCACTGACTAAAGGTCTATTCCTATGACATACACATTTAAATTTAGCACAAAACTGGCGGGAAAGAAAAGAGAAAAATATGTAAAATGCCACTTTCTGACAAGCAGAAAATTAGAATTCATTCCCCTGAGAATTAAATGGACTTTTCTGCTTCCAGTCACTAACTATGACAAGGTTAACATTTTTCAGTCTAATGACTAAGGACATGAAGTGTGCATGTGAATAAGAAATAAAATTACTGGAGGGTATTAGCTAAGTGTGTGACAACAGCCTGAGCTGACAACAGAACTCTGAGGCTGCAGATTGCAGCCAACACTGATCCTTTGCTGTGGAGAACCAATGGATACCACAACATGGAGGGCATCCTCTGTCCTTACTACTGTAACAACATCAAAATCACAGCAAGATTCATGTCTGGGTGGGGGAGAGCTCATCTCAAAGGGCATCCAGCACGTTCCCAATATCCCAGGTGGGGCACCATGTCAATCAGAGGCCACAAACCCCTGAAGATACTCCAAAAAGAAAAATCCCAAGTGCATCTCTTAATTACCCAAGGATCCTTTCACCACTCCTGATTTAATTCTGATATGACATGAGGATTAGGGTAGGAGATTAAGTTATTATTTGTGACTTGCCTTACCTTCTGTCCTTCCCAGTTCTGCTTTCCCTGTAGCTCCTCACTGTCTTACTCAGATGTGGCAACCTGAACCTGTGGCTTCCACACAATAAAGGATTTTACAGGATGCAGCACGGAGAGCTCAAAGGAAAAGAGAAGTCTCTGTGTTAGGCATTAAAATACTGGAAATGATGGATTATTGGGAATCTTTCAGGATATATGTAAAACTGGGGCACTAAAAGGTAAGACAGGAAAACTTTATTTTCAAATATCTGATTTCTTCAGTGAAAATTAAGCGTAAAAATGGCATTTAGGTCAAGTTAGAGAAAGCTCTTTTAAACAGGGACAATTAATATGGATTATATCAAAACAATAAAAGCTGGACATTGACAGAATTCAACACAGAGCTCTCATTTTATTGTTTCTGCCTTTGATTTGGTTTCAAAAGCTGTTTGGCCACAACTGAGGTAAAATCCAAAGCTTACAATTTAGAAGATAAATGAAACATTTAAAAAAATTAAAATAGACATTAGGATTAAAAAAGAAAGAAACCAAGTACTTTCAAAACCACAGAATCCACCTCTAGATTAGCCAGCTGGAAGGATTCAGCAATTTATCTCAGCTTTCCTGTGGCTGTCAGGGCACTCATCAGTCCAAAACAATGCATTTTTAAATTTTTCTAGGTCTGAAATCAGTGTGATGAACTATTAGACAGCTCAGTTCATGTTTGCTGTAACATCAAAAGCTGGATTCTCCTCACCAGACACATCTCAGCCTCTGAAAGGTTTGTGCTTTGCCAGAGCAGTGCCAGAGGATTCCTGCATGTTTGACACCAATGACAAGTGCTGTACCTGCCCTCCCACAAGCTCTGGTCCACATGCCACACCACTCTCACTGCACTCTCATTACTTTTGGTCCCTGGCCTTATTACCTCACACTTCCCTACATAAACTGCATAAACCACTTACCTGCCTGTAATCCTGATAAATCCAAATCACTTTGAATGAGTTTGTTTTGTTCCTCTGCCCCTCCAACTTCCCCTGCCTTATTTTATGTCATCAGCATATTTCAGGCACTTTTGAAATTACATCCTGCTCGAGGTCACTGCACTCATTTTAATTCCAGCCCCCCAGCACATCAGTGCTTTAACTCCGTTCTGATTTATCTATCCTGTTTATTATCAGAGCCCAATTCACTCAATAAAAGCTGGAATTCAAACACACACACACATTTGAATTATGCATACAAACACTCATCAGGGGACAGAAGACAACTGCTATGGTCTAGATCACTCTTCTAACATATGGCAGCTCATAGGTAAGGGGGCTCATAGCCATGAATTTTTATACCTTGACTTCTGCTTGACCCCAGTGGTTGTTTGGCTACTGGAAACCAAATGAATTGAAATAGCATCAGAAATTCCATGGAAGAGGCTTGGCCAAGGGATCTCTGCATTTCTTGTCCCAAGCCACTAGAACTGTATTTATGGGCTTTCTGAGCTGACAGTTCCTTTATTAGCTCCTGTACACACAGGAATTCCAGAAAAACACCAGCAACCCACACCAGACAGTCATGTCAAGCAAATGCTGCAAACAGAACAGTGTACAGAGAACTGGAACCTAAAGGGAAACCAAAGCACAAACCTCAATTGCAGCCTGGCTTAGGCATCAAACCAACCTAAACAGGCTGCTGGAAGCAGAGTAGGAAATTAATAACTTTTGGCTCCCCTCTGCAAACCACCACCCTACCTAAACCTTACTGGTCAGCAGATCCTCAGGCACAGCTCACTGCTGGCTTCTGCTTGCCTTTGAACACAGTTGGTGGTTACAACTCAACAACACTACAAATTCAGAAAATGAAGGGAGAGACTGTGTGGACATGCTACAGACTGACTACCTTTGGAATTTTATGCCCCAGCTCATCTGCTGTTCCATTTCTCTCAGTCCTTTGAGATCTCCTCACTGCTCTTCCCTCTCCATCCCTCCACAGATCCTTAGCAGCCATCCCTCATAAGCAATCATCCTCCCTGCTAATCACTCTTCTGAAAAAGCTGTTTCTGTTTTTCCTCACTGCTCCAAGCTCTTGTGCCACAGCAGAGCTGCACTGGTTTGCAGCACACGGAGGCATGGCCTGAGTGCTGGGGACTAAATCACAGCCCCTCTGCCCTTCCTCATGAGCTTTGACAGTGACAAAATTCCTCCTGAATCTTACCTGGCCTAGAGTTACGGGAATTCCAGGAGTCTCTTTGAAATCCTGTTTAAATATTTCACATTTTATGCACAAAGTATTTTGGCTTTTCTATCAATACATTTCTGCTTGGTAACTCCCAGTTTGAATGCTGATTGTATTTTGCATAAATTCACTAAATTGCAGCCCTTCTGTTTCACTGGTACTTTTTGTCTGCTTCCATCAGGAACAATGTCAGGAAGATTGCAAGCTGACTACAATTCTCTTTCCTAAGCAAGAGGAAAATATGTAAAAGCCCAATCAGCACCAGTTTCCTGATGGCAGTTGGGCTTTAGAAGCTGTATTGTACTCTGGCATTTAACAATTTCTGTTCATTTGGTTCACTTTAAGAAGGGAATGTAACAATTGCCAACAGTGTTCTGAGCCTCTGCTGTCTATTGATAAATATGGAACAGGTGTAAAAACAGTTTCTCTTTCTTTCTCCTTAAAAATTCCCTGAGCTAAAAAGCTGTTTATGCAATGCCAAAGCAAGAACAGGTCTCTGCTCCCAAGTTCCAACACTGAGCTCACACAGGGAGATGTGCAGCAGACTGGAGTTCACAGGTAAGACAAGACCAACCGTGGTGTGAAGCTGCCAAGAACACAAAACTCTGCTCAGGTGCTGCCTGAGCCTGGAAGGAGGCTTCCCTGTAAGTCCTATATCCCCACAGGTAGGGGAAATTCCAGCAATTGATGGCACATTTTAAAGATTCTTTTACTGCACAGCACAAAGAATTCCACGTTCAGTCCTGGTCTGACAGTCAACAGTGCTTACACATGGGACAAGTTTCATTAACCAAGAAATGCACTCACATCTCACCCATGACAAAAATCAGTTACACAAGCTGGTTTAAAAAACAGTCACAGGATTTATTGAGATAAATACAAAGTTACATAGACTCTTTATTCTGACAAATGAATGACACTTCCAGAGTGTCCCCACTTAACTGTGCTCTGAACACCACGTGTAGTGACACAGCTGCCACGTGCTCATCCCACCAGGGCCACAAGTGAGGCTCAAACCTAAGCAACATGACCAACATGCTTTGGATCACAAGTGCTGGATCCTTCCCTACAGCATCCCAGCAATATTGCACCAACTACTGTTACTGTCATGTTCCTTAGCTAGAAATGCTGAAAAGTGATATTCTTACTGCTGCTGTGAAAGTGGGTGGACTACCTAACTTTGCTCTACCTGGCTTTTTAAATACATATTTTTGCATAATTTAAACAACCCAGAGAACTGCACATGAACACACTCATTGCACACATTTGTCTAGGACAAGACAAAGTGCAGCCTTTAGTCATGCTGAAATAATTTCTAGTTTAAAACTGAACCAAAAGGACAAACTTACAGAGGGTAAATCTGGGTAACAGACCTGCACATTGTCTACAAAAAACCCACCCCAGAACTATGCTGGCCCCCATTAGGACATGCAACTGTGGAGTTGTAACAGGAGGTTTTAAATGCTTGACTCAAATCGCGTCCTTCAAAACCAACCTGAATTTGGGAGCCAGAGAGGTACTAAAATATTGTTAAAAACAAGGAATTTTATTCAGCCTTTTAGTGAGCTTTTATAGCTGGTGGCTTACCCTTTACACACATCCTAGTTAAAATCTCCTACCAAACATGCTAAAAACTATGGAAGCTTGTGTTTTCCAGTGAATTATTGCAAGTCAAGGTAACTATTGAAGGTGATCTGACAAATAGACCTGGGTTGGGTTAATGTTCAAGGTATTTAATTTATATACAGTATATTTCAAACATACTTACATATACACACGGTTAAAAAAATCTGTTCAGTGCTGAGAAATTTAATGAACTGATAATAAAAAACAGAAGTGAAACCTTGTCAGAAAGGCCTTAGAAAATCTGAACTGTTAGAAAATATCAGTATAATGCCAGCATTAGAAAAAGATATTAGAACTAGAAAAAATTAACTTGAGGGGTCTTTTTGTTAAGAAATTGCAATCATAAAAAGTCTGTACTGAAGAAGCATTTGTTTTAAATTATCAAAAAAACTGTAAAAAATTAAATGTAGAATGTTGCAGAGTTTGCACTGTTTGCTGCAATAGCAGTGGTGTGTTTCTGCCTGCAACTTCCAAAGAGCATTTTGTGATCTTACAAGAAAACAATTTGCTAAAAATACTGTACATATTATAATACATGACTGGTTAACTCATACAAAAGTGAGCCCTCCCAAAACACAGAACCCAGCTGAGGAACCTACTCACTGTACTGCCACATCCAAACAAAACCAAAACAGGTGTGATAACCTTCCCCCATGTGAGCTACTTACTATGGAACATGAAAGAAGGGTGAGTATTGGTGAGTATTTACACAGGTCTGCTGAGGCAAAAGGACTCTGCTCTCAGGAAGAAAGTAACTGTGATTACATGAAACCACTTCATTAATTTATAATTTATAATAATTTAGTTTTTGAGCAGGATAAAGTTTCAATCCACAATTTAAAAAAGACTATTTTTCCCAGGACCCACATTATTGCACACTTGGGATCCAAAAGAAGACAGGGTCCAGCAGGAGTATAAGCTTTATAATTTTTCCGAGGCTACTGAATTTGACTAACACAATTGTGCTCTTTCTTCCAAGCCCCTGTTCCAACAGACAGGAGACATCCCACTTCACCTAACCTGTCTGACTTGGTGTTTGCCCCAGACCTTGCCCTACTACCCACAGAGGTGGCAGAACAAACTGTGGCACGACCTTTCCCCAGAAGATTTCTGCACTGGGGTTTTGCAGAATTTAGCACTCCTTTGTTTCTTAGGAAAAGCTGTTTGGGGTTTAACCACTGGGCAGGTTAAAAGGTGTTTGTTCTACATGCACACCTCATTTAACAAACAGACTCAAGCCTGTATCTCTCTGTAATACCCTTGTACAGTTCCAGCTCCTGTTGCAGAATTGAATCCCTCAACTCAAGTGACCTTTGCTGGGGCAGAATAAGGAATTTTCCACTTAGAAGATCTCCAGTCTGCCTGCTCCTGGGAGAGGCAGCAGCAACAAAAACTGACCTGTGAACACCTGTAAGGGCAGTCAGAAATGTTGCTATTATTATCTCTTAACACTGTAAGGGTATAGCTCAGAAGGAACAAGCTAAGAGAAACCTCACAATATACAAAGAATGTTGAGCTCTCTGTGTTTTAAAAAATATCACACATAAAAATGTGTGACCAGTACTTCATTCTAGCAGTGTAACTACTTTAAAAATGAAATGATTTTTGAGCTATTCCCATTGATACAGAATTAAGTTCTTCATAATTTTTTGTTACAATTCAAAACTATTCACATATATACATTTTTTTTTCAAATAAATGCAGTAAGTGGAACAGTACAAAGATAAAAGTGAGGAAGGAACAGCTTCAGGAAAGTTTGCTTTTAAGATTTAGCCACCTTTTTGAACTCATAGCAAACTTGTACTAACGGAAATATTTTGTTAAAAAAATGAAATGTAAATTCAAAATATGCTTAAACACAGTGTGTGGTGTAAGACTTCACAGACAATACTGAAGTGCAGGTGAGGTCAGAGTTATCACCTGAATTTATAAAGGGAAAACCAAACGGAAGGAATTACTCACAGGAATCAAACATACTGCTGTAGATGAAACAAGGTCATGAAATGAAGACTAACATTTCTCAACACCCCCTTTCCTGCTCAACAAAACCCACCTTATCTCTCCTCATTACTCACACTAACAGAAACAAGGTGAAAAACCGTCCTGCTGTTCAGCCTTCACTGCACTTTAGTTTTGTTTTTCAATGGTGATATTGTCCATGTTATCCTGTTTCAGTTTTATGGTGGCAAAGAAAGACACATCTTGATCTCTGTCAGACTGCAGGGCTAGAATGGTCTCTTCTGCAGCTTCTAGATGAGGATTGCCAACACTTTTAAAATAAGCTGGAATAAGGGGAGAAAAAAAGACAATTTTAATTAAATCCAAAGGAATAAACTCTAGAGCATATGTAGTGCAGAAATACAGAGAATGCCAAAACCATCTGGGGCAGCTTATCCAGTTTACAGTCTCCTTACAGAAACTACAGGAAACTAAGGAAGCTGACAGAGAAAGAAAAATATGCTGCTTCTGATTCATCTTATTAGGTACTTAAATACTTCTAAGATTTTTGCTGAGACCTAAATAGAAACATATCAATGAGCAGTAGGAAGCTGCTGCTGTACAATGCATTCCAAACCCTTCTCCATACTTAATTCTGAAAAAAAGATAAGAGATTTCTGCGCTTCTCCCTCTGAACAATCAGAGGGCAGCACACAAATGAGACCGGAGATGCACAGAGTAACCCAGACCGGTGTTCGGGAGGAGGGCGGACCCGAACGCGGCGCTGCGGTTCGCGGGGCCGCACTGCCCCCGCGCGGGGCCGCTCCGCGCCTGCAGCGCCGCTCGGGATGAGCATCCCACCTTCCAGCCACTCGAGTGCTCTCAAATCTGAATTTACATCCTAGATCACAGTGTGCGACTGTTTCACAGCCTTGCACCGACTGAGCTGCTAGAGCTGTGCTGCCAGAGGAGAGCTCGAGGTGCTGGATCTTTCCAAGGAAATGAAGGACTACACCTTTCTCCAGCAATGTCTGCCTGAGAGCCTTGGCGAGCAGGACCCTGACGTTTGGCACGGGATCTGATGCAAGGCTTAGAAGGCTGGGGAGTAAGTGTTCAACAAACTGGTCCACAGGCATGCACTCTTCTTCTACTACAGCCTACAAGAAAAACACAACAGAAAAAGCAAGACTTGCATTAAAATTACACTATTTGCCATTCCTTTCCACCTTGTCCTTAATTTGCCCTGTTAAAAAAAGCTCTTAACAAGAGCACCCCACCCCATGTCTTACCATTTGGAATTTCAGCCAAAGATGGGCCAGGAAGAACAGATTAATTTCTCCCAAGAATGTTTTAGGAAATGCTGCTCTCTTGCCTGTCATCACCCTTTTCCCTTTTAATGTTCAACCCTTGCTCCTCACTGCTACCCAAGTAAGCATTTTTGGTTTGGATGGGGTGAGGTGGCAATAAAGTGGGAAATAGTTCCTGGCATCCAGCACCCATTGGTGGTGTGAAGAGCTCTTGTGATCTTTTAGCCTAGCATGGCCAAGGATTAAACAAATCTGTCTCTGTTTGGGACTTAACTCTCGGCTTTGCCACAGGATCAGCTGTGGCAGCTGGAAGCACAGACCCAGCCAGGGATACAGCCTGGGGTGGGACAGCCAGATGCCAGCACTGAGACCACACTGACTCTGACCAAACCAAAAATAACCAAAAATATTGTGAGTCAGATTTCAGTATTGCCCACATTGCTGCAAAGCCCCAAATTTAATATACACATAGAAACAAAGAGAGAACATTCCAACCTGACAAATGAAGGCAAAGGCTTGTCTCCCAACCCACTTGGAGCAGTGACGAAACCGCACTACGAGCTCATTGATGAAATTTAATCCCAGGCCATTGGCACTGTTTGCATAGAACTTCTGTAATATTGCTACGACCTGTGAGCCAAAGGAATGGGAAAAGGAGGGGAACAAAAAGAAGAAATGAAACTTCAGCTTCAGCCCTTAGACTTAAAAAGACTTAATTTCATTTGAATGCTACAAGGGACACTGTATTCAATGTAGTCAGCTCTGCTTGTAGGCTTCATAACAAATTAAATCAGCTTTGAGGAAAGATCAGAAGTTGGTTGTTCTGTGTTTTGTTTCGATTTCTTTTCCCCCAGAATGGGAGAAGGCTTTCCAGATCACATATACTGGCTTACATTCACTTCAAAGGATTTCTCATTCACATACAGCCACAGAGAAAAATTTCAGTATCTGTGGCAGTCTGACAACTCAATATTTTATAAACTTTCCACTTCACTTTTTTCCATATTGATTCCTGTGTTTATCAAAATGTCCCTATTCACCCTACTTGTCTGATAAAACAGTGATTTCAGGTACCCTCTCCAGGAGCATTTTCCTGCTCTCCGGCCAGGAAGTGAACTAAATCCCCTACCAGTTTGAAGGAGATCCACCGAACTTCTGAAACTTTATCGGAGCACAGAGTTAGTGCAATGTGCCTTAAGTAGTCAAAGACATCGTTGGGATTGTAGAGCTCCAGGATCAGGATCAGCTGCCTGGAACACAAAGGAAACCCTTACTGCACCAAGTGCAGCACCAGCCTGCTGCCATTCACCAGCTCTTACAGGTGGGGTAGGAGCACCAAAGCACCAGAGTTACTACAGAGCCCTTGAGCAGTTTGTTCTTCTCTTCACTTGTTACAGGTACAGGCTCTAATCCATCAGGGAAGCCCAGAGAAACTGTGATCCAAACTACATGTACCAGTGTATCAACATTATCCAAAAGAATAACCAAAGCTACAAACATAAGCATGAGAAGCCTTTTTCAGCTTCAAAACAATACCCTGTACATTCTTGCAAAACAAACACTGAATATTTACCTCAATGTAGAAATCTACATTTCAGAAAATAATTCCTGTCACAGAACCACACAGAACTCACTCCAGACACAAAGAGCCCAGGCAGTGGCAGCTCCCCACCAGGGCTCAGGGAGCTGCTGTGTAACTTCTGTACCACTGTGAGTTTGTTGTGCCAAACTACAAAGGGAGAGCAAGTCCTCAACAGCCCAAACACAGCAACAAAATAAACACAAAGGTCAGAGTTTATCTGCAAACTATGGCTACAATGGTGCTGAAAATATCAACAGGGCTTGTTGAAAAAGAACTGTGGGATGTTAATCTACCTTTGTTATATACCCACTCTTATAGAAGTACCAAAAAAAGCCCAGCTTGTTTTTTAAAAACTAGTTTTTCTTTCCTACACCTTAAAAAAATTACTTTTTACATGTCTTTCACTAATTTTTGCAAGGGAGTCATGAACTAATAAATTCTCACTGAATAGTATCTATCAGATTGTCATGCTTCATCAGCTGCAAGTGAACCAGATCTCCATTTTAGTAAAATCACAGGCACTTAAGTTTTAGTCATACATTACAGCACAACTTGTGAAAAACAAAAAACCACACCAAAAAACCCGAACACCCTCAACTCCCCCCCCAGACAACCCTAACAGCCAGTGGCTTTTTCCTTCCTAAAGAATGGTTGTAAACTTTTAGCTTCTAATCAAGATGTGCTAACTTCTGAATGTAATTACTTATTTCCAAGTTAGTAATACAGGTTAAAAATCAGAAGTTAACAAAATTACATACTCTGCCAGCTCGTAACGAAACCTCCAGTTCCTGCTGTTATCAGTCACCACAAATTCTTGCAGCTGGTAAAGATACTCTCGCCTTTTGTCTGCATGAAGTAGCTAAAGGAAAAACATTACTGGTATAAAACTGATAAAACTTCAGACTTGCAGTTCTCTGGTGTGTCACTAGTCACACCTATGTGCATTTTCCTACTTAAAAAGCAAGTGACTAATGACAAGGTGCTTCCTAAAAACTGTGCAGAGTCAGCTGAGTGCCTGGACACACACAAGTGACATCCAAAGTACAAGAAGTCATCCCTCTAGCAAAACCCAAAGCACTATCTCCAGGCATGACAGTGAGTAACCAAAAGCTGAGGATCTGTGTGTATTCCACAGCAGCCCACCAGGATCTGCTCTCTTCTCTCCCAGCCCCAAAAACAAACTGCTACTGGGCCAATTTTCCAAGTTTACAACAGCCAGCAGCATTTACAACCACATTTACAACAGGTTTTCAGCTTGGTATTTTGTTGGGATATGAGAGAAAAGAGAAGTGAGGCACATTAAAAGAAGGAATAGAAGCACACACACAAAATGGTAGCATTGGAAAATACTAAACATTGATTAGATACTGAGACATGCACAGCTCATTCAAAAACTCTTCATATAATGGAGTCAGAAAAAAATTTATGTTGAGAAATTTATTACATTTTCCTACCTTCAGAAAGTCATAGAGATGTTTGAGGACACCAATACGCACTTCATCCAGATCTTTCAAGAAGCCATTGAAAATTGGCACCAGATCAGCAGCGGTTAACTGATCCCCCAGGATCACAGCCAGCTCGTGGATAGAGAAAGCCAGAGTGCGCCGCACCTTCCACTGCAAAAGGGCAGCAAGGGAACTACGTGAGGCACCATGACTACAATAAACAAGCTTTTGAACTACCCTGTGTGAGGATTGAGAGAGCAGGACAAACAGGGCTAGTAGAAAGTGTTAATCATATTTATGAAGTCTGATTTAAATCTGGAATTTTATATTTTTAGCACTTATTCCTCCATATGAAATTATGCGATCTTATAACTACAGTACAGACTGAAGAAAAAAACCTCCTCCTCAAAATTCTGATTTGTGTAACAAAACTTTCTTTTCTTACCTGTACATCTGAAGCTAGTGTCTCATAGGTGTCCTTGAGGCAGTGCCAGTTCTGCCTGCCCAATGTCAGGGCCACCCCAGGCAGGCTGTAGGCACAGTGCTTGGCAATCTCAGTGTCAACAGTCTGGGCCCGAGCAGGGTCAGTCATGGACAGGTACTGGTCCAGTAAAGGCTGAGGGATGATGTCCTACAGACAGACACACTTCAATTTAAGAGCAGAAAGAAAATACAGGTGCTGTATTACAGTTCTACCAATCAGCCAGCACCAAAACACAAGAGACAAGACACCCCTTCTGTGCGTTACTCTCACCAAGGGTACATGACTCCAATGGTTATTTATCCTCTCATTAGGACACAGCAGTCAGCAAGGAGCAGTCATTATGGCTTTATCAACACCTTGCATCAACCAAGCTGAAAATTCCTTCTTTGCTGATGCCAAACAGTAAATCAGTGATAGAACAGGACAGTCAGTGCCTACCTTGGTTGCACAGGTTGGCACCAAAAAGGCAACAGAATGTTTCTAATTTTGTCATTTAAAACAGGGCAGTCCTTGAATTCTGGAACATTCCTTCACATTCTGCAACTGATCCAATGCAGAAGCTATCACTGCATTAAGGGTAGGATTAACTATATCCAGTACTCTACTAAAACCATTAAATGCCATTTTTATTACCTGTAATTTTGACTTGTCATCTTCAAATGGTGGATTATTTTCTTGCTCTTTCCTCAAAAAGACACTGGTTCCTCTGTGTTGTTCCTCTGAGTCCTGTAAAAGAAGGTACCAGGTAGTGAAATGAAGAAGACTTGATGCTGTTTGGGCTATTTCAAAGCATCACAGTGCAGAACAACAGAGCTCAGATTCAGAACAGCCCTGCACAGGCAGAGCCTTGTTCAGTGTGTTTATGCAAGTATAAAAAGACAACAGTTGCACACTGAGGCAAACAGACTGTAGCAACAAAAAGGGGCAGCAGTAGTTAAGATTTACTTCTAAAGAAAGGAATCTAACATCACAAACCCAACATTCATACACATTTTGGATGGTTACTTTTAAATAGTTTTTATTCTTGAAATTAAATTACAGTCAACGGAATTTAATCAGAAAAAAAAAACGTACAAGACTACTCTAAAATTTAACTCCTGGGTCATTTGGGTGCAAACAGAAGTGATAACCCTTAATGGCTTTTCTTTTTTTAATTAGAGTAAGTAGTAGAGTAAATTACTAGACCACAACTATGATAGCTGTGGTCTAGTAATGTTTAAAGGGTTTGGATCAAAAGTGGATCAGTTATGCCAGGGACTACACAACCCCACACAGCTCAGACATGGAGCACAACGTGTACTTACTGTGGTTTTCAGCACACTGGTGCTTGACTGGTCACTGATGTCATCCTGGGAGGCAGGGGATGAAAGAGTGTTCCCCTGTACCTGGTTGCAAGCTGCACCTGAAACCGTTGCTTCATCCAAAATCATTTTGTTCTGAAGATTGTCACCGCTTTCTTCCATTTTTTTGGTCTCACAGTCACCAACAGAATCAAACTGAGCAGCTCTGAGAGCAGCAGACAACACTTGGACCTGAGCTGTATAAAGCAAAAGATGGTTATTTAGTCTCCTTTCTTTATTTAAAGGCAGTAAACTTGTAATTAACTCATCTGAAAAGATAAAAGGTAGTCCAGTATGAGCTGCACACAAAGGCTGTATTAGCAAACATTTGCTCTTGGAAAGAAACAGTGTTTTACTGCAGAGAACTTGAGACTTGATGAAACAAGAAACTGAGCTGACTATGGATGACAAGAGAGATTTGGCCCACGAAGCACAGATCCCACTATCAGGCCAATATCTTTTCAATGCTTTTGACAAAGGGCCTGTTTCAGGTGGTTAATGAGGAAGAACTTGAAATTAGGGCCATTCTCAGTCAGCCAATATTAGATCAATTCAGCTTGTAACACTGTCACTAAATCCACAGTACCTACAACACTCAGAACCTGATAAAACTGTCTTTAACAAGCTCTTTTCCCTTTTGTAGTTAGACCAATTTATTTTTCATGCAAACAGAAGCCAGGAGCATTTCCCCAGCTGCTCTAGAAATAACTTACGTCTTATGAAAAAATCTGTTGCATAACCTTCTACTATAATTTACTACTCAAGGTAGGTTCATCACCCTATGAAGACCAAGCTAACTAAAATGCAGCCAAGAAAGGCCAGAAAACCTGCTCAGAGAAAACAGAATTTTACTGTCATAGAGTCTCACCTTGAACATCTGGATCATCTATGTGCTCCTGTAAGCTTTCTAGAACCTTTTTTATTTCACTGCTAGCAACACAGTTATTACATGGCACAGAGCAGGCTTCGCTATGCTTCTCAGCCTTGAACTGCAGCAGCTCCAGGTCCTGACTTATGTCGGGCAGAGGAGGGCGCCAGTACAGGAATGTGCTAAACACGTCCTCGGCAGACGGCAGCCCCGAGCTCAGCCCCGGAAAACTGCTCTCCTTCGTGCCTTCAGGGGCACCAGCAGCAGTTTTGTCACCCTGACATAAGCCAGACACATCTTCTCCACGGCTGGCACAACAATCTGAACTTTCTTGCCACGAATTTTTATTTAGGTCCTCAGAGAGCTTTGGACGAACTTCTGCTGAAGCCTCCTCAGTCGATGATTCTGGTTTGATTTCCATTGGTTGTTCTGAGCTGGAAATAAAGTTATTGAAAGAAAACTTTAAGTACTCTGTAACAAGAGGTTTTCAGTGAAATACTTAATAAAAGACAGTAGCAACAACAGAAGCTTTTCTCTAAAGAAAGACTATTTGTCACTACTATGCTTTACTTCACCAGTTTTCCCTTTGCCTTCCTGTGAAGCCAAAGTGAATTTTTCAATAAGGTGCTTACACTCAAATGTGTGATCTCACTCTTCAGACCTTTTCTGGAACTGCATTCTCAAATTGAAATTTTTAGCCTTGATGAGCAACAAAATCTCCTTTTTTTAACCCCTTCACTACATCACACCTTTCCCAGGATTTACCTGGGTAATGCAGCATTTGCACTGGAAGACATCACAGTGATATTGTTGCTTGGCTGACAGGAATTGGAATTCACATCTTGTGCTGGTGGTCGGATACTCAGTGTTCCATCTTCTCGAATGTAAAGACCAGCACTTGAAGGGTTTGCAAAGGTAGAAATAAATGGGCCAAGAGACTGAAAAGCAGCCTGACGAACCTGTGGTGGTGTAAGAGCAACAGTCAGGCTTCATGCAACTCACACAGAGTTGAATAATTTAAATTTGGTGCAATTTTCCGTAAGAACCAGTTGGTTCATAATATAACAGCTTCATTTATATAACCAATTACCAAATAAGTGCCACTTAAGCAAAGGGTGATACACCTAAGCATATATCTACAATCATTGTACAGAAATCTTCTCGAAGTTATAAATTTGAAGGACATCTGCTTACTTCAATTCATCTGTTTGACACAAGCAACCTTTTCTCAGAAGTGTATTTACATTTATAAACTGCTGCGAGAGAGGAAACATAAGAAACTCTCTCATTAGAGATTATTTTTTAGCACATTAAGCTCTGATCTCAGCAAATGAACTTCATAGCACTACTAAACTTGCCCATTATTTGTTTAGGATCTGCCTGGGAGGAGGCATCCATTCCAGAGGGAGCTACTCACCCATCTGCAGGTGTCACTGATCAGGCTGATGAAGAGTGGGGACAGTTTGCTCCTGCGAACTTCTGGGGATGTGGTGTAGGACACTGCCATAAAGCATTCAGCACAAGCCTTCCTCATTCCCCACACACTATCAGAACACAGCTCAAAGAACTTGGGAATCTGCCAAAAATAAGTCAATCCAAAACTAATTAAAGACTAAACAAAGACTGCAGCAATATCAAAGTATTTGTTTGAAAACTGGAGACAATGACAACTCAGAGAATAAAATAAGTAAAGAACAGAAGAAACACGGCCAGGTTAAATGCATACACTAATTAAAGGAATTGGAAAAAACCCATCTGTCCCTCACTTACTCCATTAGGAATGTGTGTACAACTATTTGCAGCAAGAAAGAAGAGAAAGAATTATTAATGGCCTATTTTCCCTGAAATCATAATTGAATTGATGATCATCTAGTTTAGGGAAAAATAAAAGTAGTAATTCTATAATGTGTGTGCATACATAAGTACATATATATACATATATATGCTGTCAATTACATTGTTAAACATTTTGCAAAGCAAGAACTTTGCATTTCTCTTAATTCCCAGTTTTGCTGTGTAATTGCAACCGCAGCCTTAGCCAAATCAATTAAAAAATGCATGCACACTGATTAATTTGTAGAGAAGACAATAAAGAAACTCATTATTAAACTTTCTGAACTGAGAAATACAGGTCTTGCAAATTGATTTGGTTTTTACATACCAGCAGTCTTTCAGTGGCTTCTTGCCCAACTGCATTACAAATGTCACCAAAATTAGCTGCACAAATCTAAGAAATAAAAAGTCATTAATAACACTGTGTCTTTCAAGGGCATTAGGTTGATTATCAACTCTACCATGCATTATTTATCCCATCAAACAACTGCACATGTTTTGACTCTTCCAATTTCAGGCCTGTAACTGCATCATGTAATATTAACTCATCCAAACAAAGATGCTTTGGAGCAAGTGTCCATACTCCACATGCCTCTGGGATCAATAGTAGTAAAGGTTTCTGCATGAGGAGCATCATCTGCTCCAGTAACCACCAGAAGGGACAATAAACCCACATGAAAGTTTAAATCACTTTGAGCAGCAGCTGCCAAGCCCAAAGCAGGCCAGAACATGATACCAGGGTCAGGACTTAGGTGTACTGACAGCACTACCCTGGCTCAAGGTGGCTTAAGTGCTTTACTGAAGCAAAGTTTAATCAAGGTCTCAAGTTCGTGCCATTTACAGGCCATTACAGAAGCTCTAATTAAGGCAAAAGGGACATCCCCTCAGGCTGGAAAAAGATGTTGGCAAAATCTGAAATCATTTAAGATAGAACTGTGTTAATACATGTTTTAGTCACTCTCTGTGCTAATTTAGAAAGCAATAAAAGCAGCTCAAATTCCAGCAAGTGCAGCTTATGTTGCAGACCAAAGCTGAAGCTTGGCACAACCCTTAAGTCTAAGCAAGTATTTTAATACATCTTATGCTACAAGTTTCCTTTTGTACTTAAACATCAGTTAAAGTAAGTCTTACACTTTGGGGATTTCTCCTTTCAATACTAACAGATTTATTTTTAAAAACTGATGTCTCAAATGTCTATTACTTTTGAATTTTGAAATAAGATGCTAAAGATTACAGAAGTTGCTACCATCCTATAACCAAGCACAGCGGCTTACAAAAAAATATTGTGCAAAAATATTAAATGTGCAAGACCAGTTTAACTACTGGACCCAACCTACTGGCCAAAGTCTATTATCTGTTCCTTTACTGAACCACAGAGACTAGTCTAGAACCATGTCAATAAATCAAAATTCTCTTCCAGATGCTTTGAAAGTCCATCAGCTAGAGTTATGACTAAATTATGTAGGAAGGCATTTGAACAGCAGTGTACAAATTCATTTTCAGGGGGTTAGGGTTGAACATACACCAACCTTTCGGACTTGAAACAATTTCCCATCACTGCACAGTTCACAGAAACGAGGAAGCAGCATGTGCTCAACTGTTGTTCTGCTCAACATAGAAGCCATTTTACAGATTATCTAAAAATCAGGAAAGGAATATGTGTAAGGAGAAGAAAATTATAAACCTTTTAAGCACAGCCAAATATTCCTCCTATAAATTACCTCAGAGAGCAAGACAGTGATTACAATCAACCAGATGAAAGTGCTACACATTATTTGTTTTTCCATACACCTGTTTTATGTAAAGCACAAACACAGCTTTAATTTAAATCATTCTATGCCAGAACATAACATTTCTCCATTTAATTCCTTGTCTTTTTTATCTGGTTAAATAGAACTTTTATTAATAGATTTGTTTTCAAAGTGTTTGCAAAGTGGCAAATACTGGCATTTTGTATGGAGAAGACAAAAGTTCCATTGCACTAAAGATCTTATAAAAATCACACTCTTTAAGCACATTAGAAATATCCCAAGTTTCAGCATGCAAGTATGACATTGGTCTTTAACAGCTCAGGTACTTAAAAACATGCACAGTCCCAGCTCTGTAGGCTCAGATATCACAATAAAATAGAAGTTTGCCATACAGCAGGAGACAAAAAAGGGGAGTGCAAAAAAAATTAGTTATTTATGTGAGCCACTGCACACTTTACAGGAATGATGCCCAGGATTTTTAGGAGTTAACAGTGCATAATTAAAGGAAGTTAGTAACACACTCATTAAATGAGCTTTTTTAGAGGAATTATCAATTTCCACTACCAGCACAAACCATGTTTCTGCTGTGAAAATCATGTGTTTTGGGTTGGGTGTTTCCTTTCAGCTCCCACTTTCTGGGAGAAGTTGCTGTAATTCTTCTATTTGCAAGGGGCTCTCATGCACCAGGGGTTTAATGCTTACACAAACATCATCAGATTACAGTCCTCATCTTTCTGGTTTTATTTTTCAAAAAATATTGCAGCATTCTACCTTCATAAAAAAATAAGCTTTTTTTCTTTATAGGAATAAATGCTTACCTTTCCAATAGAGTGCTAAATAACAACTAAGGAAGAGACCATTCAAGGACTTTCCTACAAATTTTCTAACTCCTAAAAGGCAGCTGGTGCTCAGATGTCATCCTGGAAAATTGTCTAAGCAATTCCCAACTCCCAAACAAGGAAGAGGAAAATCTAGCTGGTAAAATATTTTACAGGTCAAGTGTCAGATATCCGTGCTGAAATGTAATTACACACCAGAACTTTTCTGTGGAGTCAACTGATTTCTTGAAAGTCACCAGGCAATGTTTTTTTCAAAACACTTCAGAACAGAGATCAGGTCATATTTCTACAACATTACTGTGAAACCTGGTAAAGCAAATGTAAAGAACACTCTGGGGAATGTAACAACCCTAACAAGAATTTTAAAAAAGGCTGCCAAGGACCAATTGTATTTTAAAGCTATTCAGCTACTATTTTGATGTAATTTAGGATCCTGAAGCATAAAGATGGTCTCTTTTAAAATCTGGTATTTTCAAAAATTGAGAATAAAAATTAACGACTTGTTTTGTTAAAGTAAAAATCCAAATATCTGACTGAATAAAACCAAAAAGTTTGATGGCTTACTTTATTTAATGTCAGTTCTATTCCTGGACCTCATCTTAATCAACACCATAAATTAATGTTATCAACTTACATTGACAGCTTCCACCTTGTACTCATCATCACTGTCAGGAGCAGAAAGGTCCAACAGAATTGGACACACCTTATTTTCAATGTCACTCTGAGCCACAAGATCTTGTTCCAGCAGTATCAGCAGTGCTTCCTGGCCTGCCTTTCTGACCTATAAACAAACACACAAAACCAGTTTGTCACTATAAAAACAACATTTACAAATACAAGAACCACCAAACCCTCTATCCTTTGAATGGACACACAGGTACAAGCTAAAAAAAGCAAATTCAGGAAAAAAGTCTTCGTTTTATTAAAATAAGGAATTAGCAACAAATACTAAAGTTTAATATAATCATTACATGACATTTCATCACATCTGGAAAATAAGACAAAACACGAAGTAGAAGACAGGGTTTTCAAGTCATGACTCCTGTAACAGATTCTGTCCACGTGCTGTCAGGCAAATCCTGAAGTCTCCCATTATCTGCTAAGGGAAGTATTAAAAACCCAAAAATACAAAAACAACAACAAAAAAAAAAAAAAAATCAGACATCCCTAGAGGAATGTGCTGAAACCACTAAACACAGAGCACTACATAAAAGCCAGATATCAATCAACCAAAGTGGAATTTCCTTGTATCTCTTCTCCATATGCCTTAATTTTATTGAACCACACAGAATTTTCCAAGGATTCAACTCCTGTTGTCTGTATTTCCTACCTGATTGTTAACATCTGTGAGATACCTCACTACTATGGGCATAAGGTATTCAAAAAATGCTGTTGGGAATTTTGGTCGACTTTCTTGCAAAAAGATGGCAATTGGAGGTATCTGCTCCATCAGCTCTGTGCGAACAGTTGGCTCTGGAAATAAAAATCAGATTACATTAGTAAATGTGAAATGAAGATTAGGTACCTTAAGAAAAAAAAGGGGCATTTTTCTTTGTTTTCACAACAGAGGAAAATTAAAATAAGCAAAACATAAAAATAGCAGAGAGATTGCCTGTTCTTAAAGGAAAGCGGAATAAAACAGAATAGCCTTACATACATCATCACAGTTCAGAGACTTGGGATCAGTTCCCAAATCAATCCAATAAAATGAGATCACAAGCTGGAAAATCCAGTCACCATGAACATATGCACAAGAACTATTAAAATACACAACTGCTCTGTGCCACTTACACCAGATATAATAAATCAGATTTCTTGAAAATGTTGCTTCAGGCCCTATACTAAGAATAGGCCTTTCATTTAACATTTACCATGCAAAATATTTCAAAAACAAGAGATAAAAATTAATCTGTTTTCATTGACAGATCTTCCTGCTAGATGAATCAACTTCCTTGCCTTCTCAAAATCGGAAGTCAGCACTTCCTATGTTGCAATTTATGTAAAATAACTTATACAAATTAAAAAACAAACAAAAGCAAACTTTCAAACCTGCATCTTCAGAGAGCCTGACCACTATTTCCATTACAGCCAGAAAGTCTTCTTCATTGTTACTGAAATCTCGAAAGACATCCAGAAGACCCCTGGCAATAATTTGCCTGTGGAGTGAACACAATAATTGCCTTAATATCCAGTGACACTTAGATGGGATGCAAGGGGAACTTACCAAATGTAAATGGCACCATAAAACAGATCAAGCTGTTTTCTGAACATTCCACATACCAACAAAATAAAGATAGAATAAAGAGATCTTAATTGATAACTAAGACTGAAAATCTCTTTTCATGGAAGTGTTTTACAAGTTATTCAAATAGAAATACCATCATGCATGTATTTGGGAGAATAATGAAAGACACAGAAACATCTTAACATGCACAGTGCCCTCAGACTCAGGTGCCACCAAGTATGCCTGCTGTGCCCTTACCTGTTAAATACATTATCACTGAAGGCATATTTCTCTAGACGAGCCAGTGGAGTCAAGTTATCCTGGCCAGGAATATCCAAGAATGCTGTTATCCTCATGCTATCACAGTCTGGTCCATAATCTTCAAAGCCAACTTGAAAGACATGAAAAGTAACCAAAAAAAAAAAAAAAAATCCGAGAATCAGCAAGAGATGTTACAATGTAAACCACCAGTAACTATTTCTTTAAAAGAAAAGTAATTGCACATCACTGGAAACAGTTTACAAAATCATCTTAAATTGTATCAAATGAAAAGTATAACACTTGCACACAGACTGGAAATTCAAGCTTTAACTTGACTGTCAAAATCCTAGGCTTTAAACACACTTTACTTTGCCCTTTCAGTGGAGGATCCACATGCATTGAGTTAAGAGGGCTCAGCTGACACAATTGCACATCACAAACCAACTCACATTCAAAAGAAAAGTCAGTCCCATTAGAAGAAACTGTAATTTTAACAATCATAGAAGATTTCAAACTGTATTGCTTTAAACCAGCAAATTCTTATGTCTGTTTCAAAGTTCCTGAGGTACATTTTTCTCACTGTAGTTACTAAATCAAACGTACCTAAATCAAACAGACTTTGGGTAAAAAAAACTTCATGGTACTTGTGAACATGCTGGGAGCTCCCTGCTGCACCTATCAACTATGGACTTTTTTCTGTGTGAGCCCACTCTTCTCTGAATCTTTTTTTGTATTTGCAGCTTCAGATTTTTACCCAATATTACTACAGCAATTGTTACAATTTGCCTTACCAAGTCTGACAGACACCATCACAGACAACAGGCAGGAGGTATGACCGTGAAAAGGAAAGGGAATGGGAGAACTTTGTTGTCAAACCTATTTTAACCCTTTACCCCTACAACCATATGAAATAATGTGCCAGCAATGCAAATCTTTCACATAAATGCTCTTATGGGATAGAGGAACTCCACAGAAAGATTTGCACTGGAGTAGTTAATATTGCTGCTCTGGGTTTACAACTGTCCCAAGCACACCTAGAACCAGGCACATTTCTTTCACACAAATAGAGCAACTGGGATCACACTTAAGTAAATGCAAAATCTGCCCACACAGCTTCTCATATCCATTAAGCATCTCACAAACCAGCACATATGCTGACAGCGACAACCCCTGAAGACAAGAAGTCACTTCTTTGGTCTAAACTCCATTAATACCCATTATAAATCACTTTATATGTTAAAAAAACCTCTGTTCCAAGCCTCAGGTTTTTTCCAACATTTCCTATGTAAAATTCTGCTTTCCAATTATTCAGCAAAAGTCAAAACACTCTCAGAAATGCAGCTCAGTAAAAGAGGAAATCATTTGGACATACTTGGAGAAAAATGGTGTATCTGGATCTTCAGGGGGAAAAAAGCAGATTGGTGCAAGGTCTCCAAGGAGCCCCAGGTGAGTTTAAATACTACAGAGATTCCAAATTCTGCTTTTCTCACAGACAATGCACTCAACAAATTCAATAGATTTCAAACAAACAGAACTGTGGAATTAGATTAAATGTTGACATTTCAAATGTGCACACAGATACTACAAGTGAACCCGCAGCCACACAATAGGAAACAGATGCTAATTATTCCCAGCTTTTTAGAATGATGACATATTGCACTGACACTCTTACTTCCTCTCCACTGGTCATTATTATTTCTCATGCCTGCTCCTTACAGAAGGGTCTGTCAGGTTCAAAACATTTTTCTGCACAAGTGTAAATAATTTACAGAGCCCAGGTCTGTCTGGGATAAATCTGCTCCAAGACTTCCCCCCAGTCAAGGCATCTGAAGAGGGAACATCCAGATTTGCTGCTTCAGAAGAAACTTCTTGTGTCCCTGAGAGCTCAGGGGAAGTTACAAAATGTCTGTAGGATTGCAGATTTCCCTTCTGAGGTTGCAACAAACACTGGCAATCCTTATGTCTATGCAATTATAGTATATATCTATATATATATATTTGAAATTCCACACAGACCAGACACTCAGTAGCTAATTTTTTAGGTTAATCACCTGTTATACAAAGACAGACTGATTAGAATCAATATACTTGTAATTAGCTTTACCTAGTTCCCACCTGTCCCTAATTAGAAACGCTAAAAATTAAAGCTATTCATTCACTTCAAACAGCTCAGAATTCATACCAATTCAAACAACAATGAAATAAATCCCAGTTCTAACTTTGACTAAAATACCACACCTGGGACTAATTTTGTAAACATGATGTACATGTTTAATTTTACTGCATGGAGTAGCTCCATTATTCATTTAAAGTACTTAAGCACACCCCAGTTCTTCCAAGAGCAGAGAGAAAACAGAGCACCACTACTTATGCTCAGGACTGAGAGTTAAATACCTGAAATTTTTTCCATACACTCTCATTACACATAAGTAAGGAATAATCATAGCAGAATCCATTTTGTCTTTTCTCAAGAATTTTGGGGTTTTTTTTTTCCATAAAATAGGACACCATGGGTACTCACATTTTCAGAATACACCAAGTACTATAAAGTAAATCCCAAATACTGAACTAGTATTTCTTATCTAATGTTCCTTCACAGGTACATCTATTATTCAGTATTTTTCCCTCTAACTAGATCAAGCCAGTGAGCTTGAAATCTGTTCACCTATAAACAGAAATAAATGTGACAGTATTCACAGCTGAACTTGAGTTCACTGTGCTGAAAAGCTGCTCAGAGGTGTGAGAAAATCAGGGTCACAGGACCTAGTGCAGCAATTCAATGTCATCACCCAGTGTCACTGTTCAGATTTCACAGCACAAACTAGTAAATAACAGCCCACAGCACAATGGTTTAATCAGCACAAGGTCATTTTCCCTCCTGGTGTTTGTTGAAGGAAAAACAAGTTATTTAAATACTTTCTTATTAATTACACAAAGGGCATAAATAAGTTAATCTTTCTTCCAGATGACCCACTATCTTGTGAAAAACAAGTTTTAAGCTGCACTTGAATTTAGCTAGATTTTACTACAACTTTTTCCCACATTCAGAATAAGTCCCTAGACTTCCTGTTTCAACACAATTCAGAGCGCATGATACTATTTCACCAACTGACTTAAGCAAGTAAGAATCCAGTTCCAGTGATTTATTTCACTGAGGTTTTCCTAAAACACATCCTGAACCCTTTGCTAGCCTAGTCTCTGGAGAACAGCATCTTAGTCATAGGACACCTGAACTCTGCTACAACAGAAAGCTTTTGATTCCATAACTCTAAAGGTAATGCCAAATTAATTGACATAATCAAAGAATATTTTTAAATCACATAATTCGATTTTCATAAAGCTCTAAAAGGTACATTTATTTACATGCTCATCCTGGAATGGATAACTTCTTTTATGAATTACCACTCATGGCCCAACTGTCTTTATCTGGAAATTTTTAGTCACTCGAGTTTTGCCTTACAAGCATCAAGCTTCTTAATCAACTTAGCACACAAATCTGTTACAGTCTAAACAGAACAGCCAAGGAGTGAACACTAACAGACAACAAACACTTCCAGGGAAGGTCCAAGGCCAAAACCAATAAGAAAACTACTTTGAAGTTTGCATTTATGTCTGCTTCTCACATTTTACACACTGCTGCCTACTAGGGAACAGCAGAAACCTCAAAGGCTGAAGGCAACAACCAACAGAATTCCACAGAACCAGCTCCTCCCACAGAGGAGCACATCTTCCACACGAAATGCTTTAGATCCCAGTTGTATTCCAACATTTCCCCTGGTGTTCATGAAGACCACCTTTCTCCTAAATCAGCTTTCTCATGCTCAGCTGGGAAGGTGGGTGGGATGGGTCCACCTGCTCACATTTCCAAGCGGTATCAAACAATAAAAGTCTTGCAAGAAATACAAGTAACATCTTTCTTTTTTAATAGAAAAGCCAGCATCCAACGTGTCAAGGAAGCCACCCCACAGAGAGAGCTGCTTTTCAAGGCAGCAGAAGTTCGTATCGCTGTCAGTCAAAGCTTTATCTCCTGAAGTCACAGCGCTTACCAGGCTGGTTCACATCTGACAGGTGTGATCTGACAGCCCTGGACCACACGGGCGTGTGATGGAGCCGTTCCCTGCTCTGAGACCGGGGCACGGTACCCAACCCAAACCCACCGGTTAGTGCGATCCAACCGGAGCACACACGGAGATCTTCCCTTCATCCCGAGGTGCGCTCGCAGCACATCCCGGGGATGCAGGAGCAGCGGAAAACGCGTCCTCACAGCCTCTACAGCTTTAGAAAGTCTCACCGCAGCTGAGCAATCCCTGGGCTAAGTGTCCTAATTCCCACCGACAACAGGAGCGAGGCTGATGCCCTCGTCCCCCCGTGCGCCTTTCTTTCCCAGGCTCGGGCGCTGTCGGAGCTGCTGTTTACACCGAGACAGTGGGGATGGTCCAACGCCCCGGGACCCTTCACCTGCCAGAACTGCCTCAAAATCCTCCCCTCGCCCTCAGCGGGGTGAAAACGCGGAGAGGGAAAGTGGGCGACAGGAGGACCCCGGGGTGGGAGCGCGGGCCTGAACAGGGAGCGGAAAAATAAAAAACAGTTACTCACAATCATCTAAGTCATCCTGCAAATCCACAAAATACAAAGGGATCCCTACAAACGAAAAACAGAAGAGAGATACCAGGGGGTTGGTTTCGGAGGGACGGTGGCAGCCCCGGCTGAGCCGCCCGCCCGCCGGCCCCACTTACCGGCCATCTTGGAATGGACATGGGCGAGGAGGAGGAGCGGGAGGGCACAGGGAGGAGCCGCGGGTGCTTCCTGTCGCCGGGTCAGCTCCGAAACGCCACCGGGTGAAGGAGCAGCGGCTGCCGGGGGTCGAGTGGCCCCCTCAGCACCCGAGGGGCACAACAGCGAGCGGGGGGCACGGGCGGGGACTCCGGCGGCCGCCCAAGATGGCGGCGCGTCCGCGCAGCCTGAGGAGGAGCGCGGTGTGCGGGTAACTGGGGCGGGCGGGGGGCGGCCGCCGCGGGGACGGCGATGATCGTGCTGGGCCGCGTCTCAGGCGCTCGCTGAAGGCGCTGCCCGCCCGGCCATGGCTCTGAGGGAGCTGAAAGTTTGCCTGCTGGGGGTAAGTGCTGGGCGGTGGGAGGGAGGGTGGGAGCGGAATGAGAGGCTGGCTGGAGAGGCTCTGTGATGACGGGGAGCCTCTTGTCAGAGCTCTGAAAGCCTCTGGCGATGGCGGAGAGCTTCTGTCAGAGGCTGGAGAGGCTCTGTGGCGATGGCGGAAAGCTTTTCTCAGAGCTGGAGAGCCTCTGTCAGAGCCCGGAGAGGCGCCGAGCGCGGGCAGCTCTCCCCGGGCGCTGCGGGGCCCGCGCCCGGTCCCTCTGAGGGAACCTTCGGACGCGCCTTCCCCTCCGCGAGGGAGGCGTCTGCCGGGGGTCAATATCGCTCCTTTTCTGCCTTGTTCTCCTTTTTAAAAAATAAAGAGAGGAAACACGAGTGTCTAATGCGTGCTTCCCTCTTCCTCCCAGGCTCTTTCGGGGTTGCAGTCCACAAAATAAATAGAAACACCTGAAATCGAAGTGGTGGGAGAGAGGGAGGGGCCTGAACTTGTATTGTAAGAACATATGTAGGAAAGTCTTGCAGGTGGTGGAAGGAGGAGACGTGAAGTGAAGCAGAAGTTGAAAAATTGAAGGGAATGAAACGGCGTGTTGGCTTGGTTTGGTCAGAGAGACCCACGTTGAACAGGTGGAGGTGTCACCGGTGGCATCGAAACTCTCTGTTCTGAGTTGTTTTCTGCTTCTAAATGTTGCCCTTCAGAGGGGAAGATTATGTGTTTGTGTGCCCTTGGTGTTATGAAGGTATTTAGGGTAACTACTGTTTATGTTCACCTGGCCTGAGAAACCTTTTGTCACGGAAGAAAAGGAGAATAAGTACCCAGGAAAACTTGTCCTTGAACTCTCTGAGCCAGGAGCTATACCTGTTTTTTTCTTTTTAAGGTTTGCTCTGATTAGTGGGGCTGCAAACGCTGTAAAATACAGAGCTATGATAAAGTGCTTTTTCTCAAGAGGAAAATAGCTTGGCAAGAGGAACACAATCATACACAGTGTACCCAAATTACTGCAATATTCTGGAGTTTTGGAAAAGAAAGCATGAATGATGTAAAACTGCATTTTAAGTGAAGCATTTCCTCAGGGGTTTATTTCTTAAAGTTTTAATGACTCAGGAAATGTAAAGCAAAAAGTTTGTCTTGACACAAATAAAATACAATTTCAAATGTCCAGCTTCTGCTGAGAAGTATTTTACCACTAAGCATTTAATGTCACTTCTAAATGTGACTTCTCTATATCTTTTGCTTTTTTAATAATGGAGCCAGTGGTGCAAAAATATACAAAATCTAGAATTTTCATGGTTTGTTTTCTCCTTCACCATTTTAGCACTGTAGAGTTGCATTAGTACCATGTTTCAGGTGTGTCACAGAAGAAATTTCAAGTCTTTCATTAAGCAGGGTGGGACAGCATTAGTCAGAGGTTGAATGCATGTGTCACACTTGTATAATTTCACATACTCCACTGGTCCTCCATCCTGGTAAGGCATACTGAATTGCTGTATATTTTACCAAAAGTGGTCTTTTCCCACTGCTGTTCCACTGGAAGGTGCATAGCTTTGTAAAAAAAGCCCAAAGTTTGAGTAATAATAAGTGTGAATGCAGATTTTTGTGGTCCTTCAGAAAAAAATCGTAACTATTTTGTTTAGAAAACTGTAACTTGTTACAGACCTTTCATTTTCTACTAAATTAAGATAATACCTGAAGTATTTCACAACTTCTCTGAGATTCTCTGCAGGAATGTGTTATTCACTGCAGAGTACTGCAGGATATGAGGACTAAAAGAATCATCTGTCTGTAGTAATTAATACCACTTTCAACTGTTTCTATTCTTTTTTTAGGACACTGGTGTAGGCAAATCAAGTATTGTGTGGAGATTTGTGGAAGATAGCTTTGATCCCAACATCAACCCAACAATAGGGTAAGAAACAAAATGAAGTAAATGTGAATTATGCAAGAAAAAAAAAAGAAATTACCTGAATAGATCATTTGGGAGTTCTTCGTGTGTGGCAGCTAAATGTGGTAATAAACATAACTGCAGCCTTAATTAAGCTTGTGAGCTACCTCAGGACATGTAGGAGTGTTCTCAGCTCTCCTGCAGCTTCCATTTTCAAGTGTAAGGTCTGGACCCATTTTTGCATTGTTAATCTAAGCTAACAATGAATAAATTACACTTCAGATGCTTCTTCTAAAGGGACAATATGCTTGTCTTGTGCACAATCCTTAAATTTTCAATTCTAATTATTATGCAACTCCATGTTTTCTAATTAATTTTTTTTAAAACTCAAGTACTATAAGCCTCCTAGGTTTTTGAGGGTAGTTAACATACTAATTCAGGTAAGTCTCACCACTAATTAGTTAAAATGTTACAAATCTGTATGCGATGCACACACAAATCTAACTGATGAAACTGTTTTTGCAGTTGGTTTCATAGGTAAGGGGGATATTTGAAATTTGAGCCTCAGAGTAGCAACATTATTGATCTCAAATCTTTGAATGGATAGAAGGAAGGGCAAGCATCAAGAATTCTTGGAGTGGCTGGATATTTTTATTTCTTTTGCTGTCTTTATTTTTTTGCTTAGTAAGTGTCTTTTGGGCTGCTTTGATCAGAACCAATTTTTTTGGTTAGGAGAGGACAGCCTTGCTTGATGCCAAGAGGTGTGTGGGGGTATCAGTACAACTTCATGTCTCAGGTGACACACAGGCTCTGCTACAGCTTCAACCAAAAAGATCCTGCTGATAAAGATCAGCTGTGTCTCATCCTGTCCTTCTGAAAAATTGGGGTCTCTGTGATCTCTTACTTTTCCCTTACACCCCCCTCTTTTTTTGAGTATATACTGACATTGAACTGCAGAATGTTCTGTAGAAGTTTGCTTTTGTTTAAATTTCTCTGTTAACAGAGGTTTATTGACAGTACTGAAATCATTATAGTTACTTGAAATGACAGACTGAAAATCTAACCTTTACCAGCCTTAACAAAATCATTCACTGGTCTGAGGACTGGTTATTTTGGTAATTTGCTGTATAAATGAACCAAAACTTGCCCAAATGCAGGGATTAAGTGAAGATCCAACAAGATACACAGTCCAAAAACTTAAATTAATTTTTACTTTTTAAATTTTAATATTAAATTATTTTTTTTTTTAATATACTTTTTAGTTCCTAATTGAAACTAGTAGGTGGAAAGGACAAAGGATTAGAAGAGCTTTGAGCATCTTGCAAAACTAAAGCTGAGAATGTTTCAACTATTCCCTGGGTCTTTGAGTTCATGAGATATGATCTTGTTTCCTGTCCTATTTTCATTCCTCTTAGACTCAGCTGAGCAATCACACTTTGTTGTTGTTAATGTTCATTGCTCAATTTCTGATCTAGGCAGCTGCAGAAGCCCTGTCAGAATTCTGCAGCTTTTCTCCCCTCAGGATGCTGAGGGCAGATGTAACCAGCATATACTTCTAGGTACTGCAGAATATCTTGGCTTTCATTATAGCATCAAAAAGGAATATCAAACAAGTTATAGTGCCTACTTGGCTGGGAGAAGCAGCTGGGAAATTTAGTAACAAAACAGCTATTATTCCTACTGAAGTCGTCAAGGATAACTCCAATTTGGAGAGTTTCGTTGACCCAATTGCCAAAAGATTTTGAGAAGCATTTTAGCCTCTTGTCAGGTACCACTGGGGATGGTTTAGTTGTGATGTGAATTACAGAAACACAACTTTTCAGTTCAAAGTGACTGTACAGGGATGTTTTGTTATATAAAACTAAGTAAGATAAATTAAGTGAGAATCTATGATTTAAGAAACTGTTTTCATATTGACCAGAGACTTCAGATTTGATGCATAATTCGCAGCAGTCTTAAAAGAAGTGAAAGTCTCTGCTGTGCTTTACAAGAGACACTCCTATCTCGTTGGTTTTCTTCACTCATTGCAGAAATATATCAGCTAATTAATGATATTGAAATGCATTGCAATTAGGCTTTTCTTTTTTAGGTGTGTTGCTACTTTCTATTTGGCTTCTTAAAAGAGGAATCAACTTTGGAGATTGGCACACTATTTGAAAATGATCTTGGTTTAAGGAATGGGGAGAAGGTTACCTCTTAGCAGCTGAAACATTGTGTAACTGCTCCCTTTCCTTTACTTGAATGTATCTAGCTAATTGGCCACTTAGAGCATTGAAACAAGTCCAGTTACTTTTACAAAACCTGCAGTTACTTTTGATACAAAAGTGTCAAGGACATCATTAAGTGGTTCCTAAGCCCCAAGACAAACTCAAGTTCAGAGTCCTGGCCTCAGGTATTCAATGCTGATCCTGCTGAAACACTCTTGTTCTCTGAGTCTGACTGTACAGCAAGTTTGGGGTACTGTAAGAAGCTCCACTGTCTTCACAATCCTGTCAAAACTGACAGAAGAACAAGTTCGGAAGTCTGCAGTATTTTCAAGTAGCAGGAATTACTCACACAAGAGGTGTTCAAGTTCACAGTGTAGGATCTCATGTGCTTAAAACAGTTATGTCACCTATAGTTGCAGCTGTACAAGGATTTGGATTCAGTGTGTGGTTTTTCCAGTGAAAAATGTGCCTGCAGGTGAGAGATACAGCAAAGGACGCCCTCTTGTAAAAGAGTAACATCACTGAATTTGTGTCTTTGTGGGAGATACACTCATTCAGCTAAAGCAGATCAAATAAACAAAAAAAGTACTTTGCAATATTTAACTAAAACATCTAGAATTTGGGCAAGGGAAGAAGAACCTGGAGAGTAGTAGAGATCTTTTT